GGGGGGAGGAGGAGGAGGAGGAGGAGGAGGAGGAGGAGGAGAAAGAGAGTGGGGCAGAGGGCTAGGAGCAGGAGAAGGAGGAACAGGAGAGGGAGGAGGAAGAGAAAGAGGAGGCGGAGAAGGAAGAGGAAGTAAAGGGGTAGGAGGAGGAGGAGGAGGAGAACAGAGGTCGCGGGGTGGGGATCCCTCTCTTGATCGTCGCGATCGCGATGTATTTGCGCGAAGCAAGGTGTCCAGATACATTCTATCAGCTTGTGTGCCGCTCTGCTCTCCCAGGGAGGGTCTCTCCTCAAAGGGCACGTCGCATGCTTCGTCCTTGGAGTCTTCCCGCCAACCATCACCCAGAGCAATCATATCTCTGTCGGGATCCAGTGCCGGGACCCCAGCCATCAAGGGGCCAGATCCCGACGCTGCGATCCCGTTCACATGGCGAGACGAGTTGGCAAACGGTCATCTGTTCCCCGAGGGTGATGGGATCGGGATGTCTGCGGTCGGGATGTCTGGACACCTAGCAGAAGGTAGAGAACAAGGTAGAGAACAGGACGGAGGAGGAGGTGGTGATTGTGGGAGTACAGGAGAAACTGCAATCAGACGGAAAGGAGAAGAGGAAGAAGAGAATAGAGAGAAGGGTGAGAAGGGAGAGAAGGGAGAGAAGAGAGAGAAGGAAGGAGACGAGGTGGAGGGCGATGGTGGCACGAAGAGTAGGAAGAAGAAGAGGACACGTGGAGAGGAGAAGACTCATCAACGACGAGTGGATAAGGTGTTAATTAAGCTTTCTTCGATGGAGATGGTTCCCCTACGATCTGATAGAACAGATGGCAGTCGTTCAACGCGTGACAGCCACGTGGCAGCCGCTCAACGGCCACAAACGAGTGTTGCGACGATTGAGCATAATAATAGTAATAATAGTAATAGTAATAGTAATAATAAAGGCAATCATCAGCAATCATTAGGAGCGGCACAGCTGTCAAGTGGGGAGAGGGAGCCTCCTCCTCCTGCTGCTGCTGCTGAGTCAGGATTCGATCGGAGGATCTCGGCGACAAACCCAGGGCTTGTTTTGGAAAAGCCCCAGCCACGTGTCACCTGGACAGAGCAATCACCGACTGACACGTGGACATCTAATCAATCTACTACTAATCAAAACGCTGCTGACAGCACTATGCCACGTATCATCAGATACGAAGATGAGAGGAACGATAAAGGGGTCGTTTCGAAAGATCCCATCGGGCTATTTATAGATCCGGGTCTTGCTCAGGCTGCTGCTTCTCATGTTTATCAAGACGGCAAGCAACACGGTGGTGATGCCACGTCACGTTCTCTCCCTCCCCCTCCTCCTCATCCCCATCATGTTTATCCACTTACCCCCATCCCGATCCCGATCCCGATCCCAGCAACCACAATTCCCTCTCCCTCTCACGACGTTGATCATCATCGTTTATCTAACGGTCATCAAGGAGGAGGAGGAGGAGGAGGAGGAAAAGAGGTTATTAGTATCACTGCTGCCGCGAAGTCTCT